GAAGCCAAAGTGCTTCCAAACGTTGTCTTTGAATTGCGGTGTCATTATTATTTTGTCTGCCATGTCTGCTCCAGTTATTATTCGCTGTGTGCCACCGCCTGAAATGAAGCGACACCTCACAGCGAAGTGGCTCTTTCAAGCCATCTACCAGACTGGAGGTTCAGAAGTCATTCTTTTATTCACAACTAACTAAAGCATGGATTCATTTATTTCTTAATAAGCGATATCCAGAGCTGACAAATCGATATTTATCTAGGGGGGGGGAAGTATTGTGATATATTGCTTTATCAATATTTTTTACACCCCTACTCCTATCCTAGTCATTGTTTCTTCATGTTTAGGGTTTTGAGCCCAAATGTTCTCAGTTTTTGAACTCTGCAGACTCAAAACTCATAATGATGTGAATAAATAAAAATCATTTCACTACAAAACATTTCATATGCCAAAGCTCCGGATTGAATGATGGAGAAAAGTTAAATAGTTCCTTTCAATCAGTTTGCGCTTACTCTGCTTATTCCTCTAAAGTGGCCAGTTTTAGCTTCAAGTCAAAAATCTACTCACCAGCAGATTCAGCGTCTGTGTGAACTGATACACCAACTTGATGTCTCTGAGTGAATAAGGCTCAGCAGAATTATTTTTAGAGCATGAATTATGAGGTTGTTTGTGAAGGACAGATGATAGTTTAATAACAGAGTGGAGCTCAAATTGTATACTGTCCCCTGAGAGAAACCAGGAGGATAATGGTCCAACATTAGAGAAGCAGGAATCTGGTAAACATTAGGAAATATCTTTAGAGCCAGAGGACAGTGAAACCACCAAGCAGAGAGTAATAATACTGTTATAAGGTCTGAAAGTCTTTGTGCTGCAGTGGGATATTAATGCAGATGTTTTAATTGTTCTGTCACTTTTACTGAACCTCCCAGTGGATATTGTTTGTCTGATGTTTTTTCAGAGAGCTGGGTCTCTGTGAGTTAAACTGAGCTCTGAAATCCCTTGCGTTTGGTCGAATGCTTGCAGCAGAAATATTTGGACCTATCAGAGAGTTTTTTTCTCTGCAGATCTGTGAGCAGAGCCTGTTCGGGGAGTTTGGTGATAGTATTACAGAAATGGAGATGAGGGCTCATTGCTCAGAGCTGAGAGGAGCTCAAACAGAGATTTACATGGATAATAAGGAGGCATTTGAAAAAAAGAGAAGAGGCTTTCTTCTGAGTGCAGTTTGTCTCTCTGACTGGGAATAAAACACCAAGTTCTCACGCAGGGGCCAGCTTCTTCATGTGCACTCTGCAGAGAGCCTCCTGCAGAGCTCAGATTAGAGCCTCTTACACTGCTCGTTACTCTCTGCTGAATAGAAATGGAATTATCAACATAAATTTAAGTTTGAGGCTCTCAGGCTTTGGGTTTTAGTCAATCCTCAGTTTACAACAGGCAACCTCTCTGCCTCTTAATGATCACCCTGTGTGCTATTTAAACAGGGAAATATGGTCAGACATGTCCAAACTCACCCTGCACCATACTCCTCACCTATCTGTCTCAGTTTATCTCAATCTAAAGGATTTAAGGAAATAAAACTGCAGCATCAGCATCACTAACATGCCAGACAGGTTAATGTTTTTACAGTGTTGGACAAGTGTAGCTGCTGTCCTGGTGTGTCTCTCTTTGGAAACAAGCTGGGGCTTCTCACTCTCTAAAACTTATCAGTATTTCTCCTTTATCAAATCAGCTCTATAAATAAGTCTCTGCTCCGAACAAAACCTCCGGTGTGATTCTGGATGGTTTAATTCTGACACATGAATGAGGATGGATCAGTTAACTGAAGAAGAGTTATCAGGATGAATTTGACTCTTTAGATGAACTGATTCAGCTGCTGTCTACTCATTGAAAGCTGCTTGAAAATCTGATTAGAGCTCTTTATAAATGAACTTTAATATGAGAATAAACTGATGTGATAGCAGTCTCAGCTGGAGCTGTACAGAGGGATTTTATTCACTGAATCAGAGTCTGTCTCTGATGTGAAATCATTTTTCTTTTAAACTGCTGTTCAACAATATTTAAAAAAACAACTATCCTAAAAATACTGAGGGATCATGAAACACAGGTTCTTGCTCATCAGCTGACACATGAGGTAAAAATAAACGGTTGAATCATTATTGACCTGATTTCAGAATAAACTGTTTTTATTCAATATTTCTTCATCAAAATTAGAAACCAAACATATTTTCAATAGTTCTGTGTTTAATCTGGCCTGTCTCTAAATTATAGCCAGTTTTTTTGCTGTTAATGATAGACTGTATTTCCTTTTTTAGACTGATGAAGTTCAGCGTCAGATGCAATAACCTGTATTAATTTCTAATCTTTGAGTTAAAATATCCTATAAACTTTGATTTTGTGATCTCTGAAATCATAATCTCTGAATTTTTAATATCTTATTTGATTATCTTTAAATTAGTAATGACATCTGACTTGATTATCTCCACATTTGTAATTTCCAACATTTTTAACTTTGAAATTCTAATCTCTGAATTTAAATTAGATCATGTGAATACCTCTAAAATATTTTTTTTTTTACCTCTACATTTTACATTAAATTTAAAATCTCAGATTTTAAATTTAATCCCTGATAAAGTGATATCTCCACAAAAATCTTGATTTTTTAAAATATATTCTAATATTTTTACTTATAATCTTTAAATTAAAATCTACAGATGGATAATCTCTGACTCTGTGATCTTTGAAAAAAACTGCTATTGCTGAGTTTATATTTTATAAATGAATTATTCTGAATTTTTTATTTTTTTTTTAAAATAATCTCAGAGTTGTTTCCTGAATCCTGACACCCAGGGTCTGACTGTGTTCAGGGTCTCGGCCTGCTGACCCCAGACATAACTCTGAAGTTTATTTGATAGAAACACACACAGTAAATTTCCATATCAAGGAAACTATTTCCTCTGGTCATGATTTGTCTTTTTCACATCAGCACGGCAGACAGGTGTAAATGATAATGAACCTCCTTTGTTTCTCAATTTTCCTCCTCCAGGTATTTTGATCCTTCCACTTGTGTGTGGGTGAATCACCATGAAACACAAATCCAAACAATAAACTGCAGCATGTTTTTTCAGCACATTGTTGTTTATTCCACAAAAATATATAATTTTTCCATCAGAGTTCAAACAGAATAACAAACCTTTGATAAGATCAGACACCATGCACACGGACAGTACCAGCCTGCTGCATCTCCTCTGAACATTACCATCACCGTGTATTCAGCTCTGCCTCAGCTGGACTTCAGCAGCTGAATGACCCTGATGAATGAATCTCAAACCAGCCTTATACTGACACTGTAAATTCTGGATCAGTGGGTTAATGTCCCAGTATCTACACACAGATAGCACTCAATTCCTCGCAAAGGTTTTATGTAAATCTTAAAGGTTTTAACAAAGATATCTGTTAACTGTCATCTTATTGCCCTCTGAATTATAACGCGGAGACTGAACTGTGAAACTGAGATATTCTGATGTGTCCTCCTGACTCAGCTGTTAGTTTAGAGTATCAATCACATTTATGAAGACTTAATCAACTTTAACCTCCTGGTTTCTCATCATCAATCATAAATAGTGGGTGAAAGGAGATCTAGTCAGTAAAGGGGCTGTCTGTCTGCTGTGTTTCAGAAAGTCTGTCTGCTCTCTGTGCTCTCATTTGCTCACAGGAACATGTTGTCAGGTGTTGGTTTAACTGTATCATCTTCTGTCGAAGCAGAAACGAAGTGAAGTGTGTATTTTTCCTTCACAGCAATCCATTTCTTTCCTTCTCAGGGTCAAACTGAACTGATTTCCCTCGGTCCATTTTCACTCAGTGAGATCTGTCCAACAGTAAATCACTTTTATGAAGTTTACTCTGAACAGAGCGAACACTTTCAGGAGAAAAGCTGCTGCTGCTGCTGCGTTTTACTGACTGTCAGGATAATTTCCTTTATAACTCTTTGAAATCTTTTCTATGCTCCAGGAGATGATCCTTCACAGCTTTCTTCTTTGTTTGTTGGTTTGATTGAAATAATATCTTTTTTCTCTGAATTTGCTCTTCTTGAAATAAGTGTCAAGTCTTGAGTGCGGAAAATGATCTTAAATGTTTGACACGTGGGCAGAGAAGAGGATTTTACTGTCTCTGTCTTTTCACAGTTGTTTCCTGCTTCACATTGTTATATATATTTTTTAAAGTATTTTTCCTGTTGTGCATATAAACTAACTGTTTTCTCCTTTTTCTGTTTTTCAGGTAAGACAGATGTCTCAAGCCTGAGCCAGCTGTGTGTAAGTCAGTTTGTGTGGGTGTGAGTGTGTGTGTTTTCATGTTCCTGTAAGAAGAGCAAGAAGTGCTCATCCTTGAAAATTCTTCTCCATCCTGATGGCTCTTTGATTTGATTTCTGCCTCACTCTGTGTCATCTGGAGCTGTTTGATGAGTTTCTAATTTAATCTGCAGGATCCCATTGAAATCCGATGTGCCGGATTCATGCTGCAGGTTGAAACAGGTTTCATTTTAGGATAAAGCTCATGCAGATCACACAGATGTTGAAGAACATCTGTGCAGTTTTTGCCAAACAGGCAAGAGCTGATTTTTCCTGAAACAGATGTTTTAATTTTTGACAAGATAAAATTATTTGCTTTTGAAGGATGACTGCTAAATGGCAGGAGCAAAGCAGAGTCATCCTTATGTACTAAAGTGACAGAAATAGAAGAGCTCCTCATTCCGTGCCCTGAAAAAAAATGTAGTGGGTCTTTGTACTTGTGCAGCATCCTGCAGAGCTGCATGATATCAGCTGATTGTTTGCAGTTAGAAGTTAACGTTCAGGGATTTCAAAGGATTTTTGCTTCATTCAGATGAATATCCTTGAAGATCGGAGTATCAGTGGAGGAAAAGAGAACATGCATAAGAAGACCAAAACCAAAACCTGACCTGCTCACATAAACTCCATCACTGACCTTCTGCAGAGTTTGAAGTGTCAATGTTGTAAAAAGAGGAGTGTTGGTGGATGAACGGAGTCTAATTCATGCTGCCGTGTCTTTATGCTGTGAGTGTGTGAGAGAGTGTGTGAGCTGATGGTTGTAGAGCTGCAGTTTCTCAGACGGTCTGCTGTGACCTGTCAGGCTCAGTCCTGTGGTTGATGGTCAGCTGTAATCTTCTTCTTCTCTGATGGGGCGGGAGGGTCGACTCTTCTTCGCTCTCTGTGATAGAGATGTTCAGTGAAGCTGAGAGTGCGAACTTCCTCACTGTGAGACTGGCCTCTGTATTTTCACTCTCCCTTTTCTGCCACAGTCCAGAACTTTACACCCTTATTCTCCTGACTTCATCCTCCTCGTCTGTTTGTCTGTCTGTCTCTTCCTCCTGACTTTTTCTGAGACTGAAGGTCCTTACACACCGGGGCCGACACAAATATAGAACGCGAAATTACAAAATATTCAGAGGTGAATTTGGACGCGCCTGACAATACACTTTAAGCCTGACACGATTTTGCGACTTTCCGGGGGGACGAAAACGCATCCTTGGGAAGATTTTCCCAGGGAAATTCTCGCCTCCTTCGCCTCTGATTGGCTAGAAAAGCTGGAAACATCATCACATGCACAAGCCAAACTGTAGCACTTATAGTCAATCAGAGGCAAAGAAGGGCTGGACCTTCCCTTACCATCCTACAGCGTCCCGGGTGGAACCAGGAAGACAAAAATGGAGTCTACCTCAACTTCAGGTGATGACGAATTGGTACTCCTTTTGCTTTCTCAAAAGAAAAAGAAACGTAGCACATGAGAGCATCCAATATTAAAAAAAGAAGAGAGCTTGGTGAGTTTCACTGCTTGGTTCAGGAGCTGAAACTGTACCACGCTCGCTTCATAACCTATTTTCAGATGTCCGCTGGAAAATTTCCGTTGGACCATGATCCAAAAAATAAATGCTGTAATATCGCAGGACGGGAAAATTTTGCTGATGTGAGTGCTCGTATTGACAGGATATGGGTTCGAAAAAAAATACTAACGTCTGAAATAATCGCATCACAAAACGGTCCCGGTGTGAAAGGACCTTAATCCACAAATCAATCATCAACACTAAAATCATTCAGCTCTCATGTTCATGTTTTTTTTTTTTTTTTTAAACACAAGAACAGACATTTCTCCTCCCTCTGTCAGTGCACCTCCATCTTTTTTCTAACAGGAACTGAGAGAAACTGGACATTCATGATATTTAAGGTGATTATCAGCCATCTGAACTCTCCAGTCTCTCAGAGTTCAGTGTGTAAACGACAGACTCTTCATGTTATTTAGTGCTCTGACTGTAAATGAAGGATCCTAAAATCCTCAGTGAGTCAGTACCTGTTCAGAGCTTTGAGGAGACTCCTGATATTTCACAGGTTTGAATTTTGACTGCACAGATGGTAGAGCAGAAATCCATCCAGAGTCAGAGACAGGCGGAGGAAGATTTCAGGGGAAAAAAAAACTGGTTTAATTCACTCTCAGAGTCCTAGTTTGGATTTCATATGCAGAGCTGAGAAGAAAAACTGAAATCTGTCATATTTACTGTGTCATCCTAAGATGATGGTTTACAGAGGAAGCATCATTCAGAAAAAAACATCCCTGAACAACCTTTTTTTCTGAGTGCTGAGCTCAACCATCACTTTCATCTGCTGACTCAGTTTATGGTTTTAAAATTAATGTTGCCTAACTCCCTCTGACAGAAACTTTGAGCACCACCTCCATTCAAGGAGGAAATTAAATTGTGTTTTAATCATTGATCTTCACACCATCTTTAGTAATTTATTAGTGATGTTAGAGTTTTAGCAGCTCTTTATCACAGCAGCTGGTCACAGTTAGAGGGCCATGGCTTTAAAGCGGTGTCCCTTAAAATGCCTTTTTTGTGGGTTCCAGACTCTCAGCTAAAGCCCAATGGCTCCAGATAAACCCAGTAGACTGAGCAACAATTTCTAAAATTCCAATTTTACCAGAGTGAATAGGATAACAGGAGAGGATTAGGGCCACCACAAAAAAAAAATAAAATAAAACTAACAATCTTATATATATATATATATATAAATTTTTATCATTATTATGAGAATAAAGTCAGATTTCAGACTTCAAACTCAGAATGGCAGAATTCTGACTTTAATCTCTGAATTCTGAGGAAAAAGTCAGAGTTCAAAGTCAGAATTCAGAGTTTTAAGTCAAAATTCTGAGATTAAAGCCATTGTTTGAAAGAGTTTAAACCCAGAATTCTGACTTTAATCTCAGAATTCTGACCTCAAACTCCGGACTCTGAGAAAAAAGTCAGAGGGCAGGTGAGACTTTAGAATTCTGACTTTGAACTCAGAATTCTGACTTTTTCTCAGAATTATAAAAAAAGGTTGTATGGGCCCTTTTATCCTGTGTCCCTTATCCTTCTTTATAACAGGTAGGAGTCTAAAGGTCCTTACACACTGGGAGCGTTTTTTTCGTGCGATTATTTCGGACATCGATATTTTTCTCAAACCTGTATCCTATCAATTCAAGTATTCACATCAGCGACATTTTCCTGTCCTGCAATATTGCGGCATTTATTTTTTCGGATCATGGTTGATTTTTCTAAAGTTTTTCATACCGTGTGTCCACTTCTGACCAATCAGATTGCATGTTGTTGTGATGTCAGATTCACCAGTATATCCAACACGGCCGACCAGCTGATTGTTAATGTGTCGGAGAAAGGAGTGCTTTTTGATAAAAACAAAAACTACAAAGATAGCAAAGATAAACGTCTTTGTTTCAACTTTCATCTGTGCTTAGTAACTTTAGCTCGTAAGCTAACCTGTTCAGAGACAACATACCGTATGTATTGTCACTGTCTCAAACTGAATTGCGTTGCTGTCACAGCACCATTAGGTTTCGGTTGTAACCTTACGTTTATGGATTATAGTTTAATGTGCTTATCTGGTACTGGCCCGACTCAGTACATGCTATCATGACAGACAGCCATCTCAACACTCGTGTCTAATCAGAACTGAAAAACAGTCAGTCTGCTGTTGTGTCAGTCTTCTTGCTTCCACCTGGGATGCGTCTTTTTTCCCCCCCGGAAGGTCGCAAAATCACATTGCACTTGATGTGTATAGTCAGGCGTGTCAAAATTCGCCTCTGAATATTTCGTAGTTTCACGGCGTATATTTGCAAAGTTCCCGCTGTGTAAGGACCTTAAGAGTAAAAAAAAAGTAACAAACAAAAACAAAACATTAATGAGGAATGAACCATGATAAATGGTTCAGGTCAATTTGAAAAATATATGTAAATGTAGGAAGACTGACTGATGAAGAAGAGGTTGAGAAAAGACTTCATTGGGGTAAAACCTGTTAAAATAAAGCAGGCAAAATACAAAGAAAATAATGTTGTTGTAATGAAGAAAGTAATGTTGTTGTTGTTGATTCTTCATTCAGATTGTCTCAGGATTATTAATCATATGTGTGATAAGATGTAATTAATAAAGTAGGATCATCACAGTCCTCCTATAGCCCGCTGTGTTCACCCAGTCCATTTTAAAATATGAGTGTGACACACACAGATGAGAAAAACTAAAAAAAAATCATTGAAATTTGACTCCCGTATGTGTTTGACGGGAAGTCTGTCATACCCAGAGCAACTGTTGCCATGATATGAATGTGTTCAGTAATTTTGGGTTCACATTTTATTCACTCAGATATCGAGCTGTCATACAGTATAGACGTGAGACTGGACAGCCTTGTCTACAGCCTCTTGAATAGAAGGCAGAGTTAGACTGAAATCTGTTTGTTGAAATTCCTCCCTGCTTTTGGAAAATTAAAAATTGTTTTGAAATTTTTCATAAATTTATGTCAGAAGTTCATTGCGATGAAGGTCCCAGAAAGAAAGGTTGGTTTGGTTCAGTGAAATGCTTTGAAAGCGTGGTAAAAAAGTGGTAATCGACTCACATCATCAGAGCTTTGTCTGTCTCATAAAAAAGTCTGACTGCTCAGGATTAATAATGATGAACTGACTGATTAAAATCTTCAGTTACCAAAATGCTACCCTTTTAACCACCATCGAACGAGGACCTCAGTCAGACAGCGCTCTGATCGATCACGTTTATCTCATACATCCATCTGTGGTCGAATTGAGTAAACAGTTGCAGACGACCAAAACTGGTTTCAAGAGGAGTCCAGAGCTCTAGACTGAAGTGATCTTTGCAGGTCCTGAAAAGAACAACAGGAGACAGTTAGCAGTGAGTTCAAAAACCAAAACCATCCATCAATACTTTATAGATGAGATTTAAAAGGGAGTAAAATTTAGAGACAAATCCATCAATTTACAAACACACACAGATGGAGTTTGTGTGCAACCTTGTATCATTGAATTGATGTGAAAATTCAAGATGATCTTACTCATATCTGTCATCTTTTATTGTATTAGAAGTAAAGACTCTCTGAAGATAGCTTCACTTTTACTGACTGATTTATGGGAATCACTCAGTTTCTTGTGTGATGAATATTTATGATGGTTAAACTCAGACAGCATGAATAATGCTGATGAAAAAGTTTCTATCTTCTCTGAACGCTCACATTTTCTCAACATCACAGAGATTTTATACAATTATTCAAACATTTACAAGTCATTCACTCTATGATACATTGTGCAATTTGACAAAAATCTCCTCTTTTACTCAATTTTTTTTCTTTTTGAATTAAACTTCAATAAAAAGAGAGAGAGAGAGAGAAAGAAAAAGAAAAAGGTAAAAAGAAATGAAAAGAGAAGTGAGAATATTTAGAGGCTGTTTTAATCCAAGTTAAATTGTCCTGCTGAAAGTTCTAGACTTTCTTTGTCTTAACACGTTCATGAATAGATAACGAGATGAAGAGAGAGAAGTGAGAAATATTTAGAGAATATTTAGTTTAATTTAAATCCTGATCCTGACGAAAAAGCGTCTCCATGAATCTGGTCTGTCAAAGGAGTCTGAAACTTTCCACCTTTGTTGCCTTTGTTCAGATTGGTCTAAAGCCTGACAGATAAAGTGATTCTCATTGAAAGCAGCTGAATAGATAATCCGTCAGACTGAAGGAGGTGAAGCTGTGAAACTTCAGCAGGAGGTCATCCCTCCTCTCTGCAGGCTTATCTCGGTCTCTGAAGGCGGCTGCTGAGTCTGAGCTCTCTGCCTCTCTGCTGCTCTTCCACTCAGGATACAACCTGACAACACCTTTTTCCCACCATTCTCAGGACTCTGCATCACTACAGGAAGTTCCTCTCTGCTCCTTCAGAGTAAGAGCACACTCTCACTTCTCCGACCTGTTGGTCTTTCTCTCTAACGTTTAGATTTCAGGCAGTTTTTGTCATTTCTGAATCACTGCTGAGGTTTAAAGGACAGGCTGGGATAATTACAATTGGTTTAAAAACACATGAATAAAACATGTTGTTTAAATTGGTCTTTTTATTGTTGCCTTTGTGTTTTTTGGCCACATGATAATGGTTTGTGCGACAGTCGTATCAGAATGCATTTTTTGTCTCATTGGCAGGATAAGGTTTGGTTTTTGTAGCTCCTCTTCTCTGCAGAGTCTGAGGGTAAAAACAATAAACTATCTAATCCTGCATGCATAAATACATGCATAATGAGCAGCTGCATCCAAAGCCTGCTAGAAAGAGGATTTAGACGTGGCTTATTAGCTTTTATTCTGTGTTTGTGTTCATTTTTTAGAATAAAATAAACAAACAAACAAATGGATTACAGAATTAAGCAGAGATCCAAATTCAAGAAACATCCAAGTTCATGCAGAGACTATGCCATCAGAAAGAATAATGTTGTATAAAAACCTTTATCTCTGCACTTTTTCTGTCTACGTCCCTCCCTGATTATTCTCAGTCAGTTTTTTCTTCTTCTCCCTTTAATCCACAGTCTGATAATGATACACGTCACCTTTCATACACTGCTGGATCTAAAATAAAGAGGATCAAAGACTGATCTTGTAGCATGTTAGATTAGTTTTCTGTATGAATCACGGTTTATGGCTCAAATTCTTTAAGCTGAGTCTGCAGATTTAAAGCTCACAGTGAGTCAGGTTTTAAAGAGCTGAGATTCAGATATTCATCCATCTGAACTCAGGCTGAATATACTGTGTACTGATTTTCCATCTCCCAGACTAAAGACCAGAAATGTATTCACACACATGAAGAGGTTTAGACTTCAAAGAGGGCCAGAGATAAAGAAAGCCCAGCTCTTTTATCTAAATGATGATATTTTTAGAGCATCAGTGAATCATGTTGTTGCTTCCTAACATTTGTAATATGCTGCCTCTGCTCTGTTTGATATCGACAAACTTGGAATGAAAGGCGCTCCGTGACGGGAGGGTATGATCTTCAGAAACAGTATGACACAGCAGGGACGAGCATCATCTTTTGATGTATAGGTTAGTTACTATTCTTTCGTGATGATGGTCAACATTACTGTTTTTGGTGTTCTGTCTTTAAGTCCAGTGATTACAGCAGGGAGATGATAGTGTCAGGAGGACATCAGTCTCTGATATGATGGCCGTCATTTTAAAAGGAAATACCTCTGCATTGACCTTAAAGGGATAATACGGCGTAAGTTTAAGCCATTGTGAAACACAATGTAACACAGAGTTAGACACCCTCTTGCAAGATGAATTTTGCAGACTGCTTGCTTCTCAGGTTATACCAACTTTAGTAATGAACGCACGCTAACAATACACAGCGGTCTACGTGTCCACACATAAACCTCAACCAAAAAGCCACTCTATAGCCACAAATAATGCTCAGAACAGCACCTAACTTCATCAACAGTACATATAGGGTCCCACCCACTCTCATGGAACTGCAATCAGACAGAGATGCCAAGGCAGAAGAACTACCGCATCTGTAGTGCACATACAAGATACACAAGAACTTTGATTGCATCTCCATAAAGTAATAATCATAAATGTTCTTCCTTGAGCTGTGAAACTCCACTGCACTAGGTGATCAACTCGTCAGGGCCCCCCCACAAACAAGCAGCTGCTGGAAGAGAGTAGGTGAGTTGTGTTTGGTCTCTCCACTAAAGAAATCAGGCAAAGCTAAAAAGATGTTTGGTGGCTGGTGCTATGGCTGGGACCCTATATGTACTGTTGATGAAGTTAGGTGCTGTTCTGAGCAATAGTTGTGGCTATATAGTGGCTTTTTGGTTGAGGTTTGTGCGTGGACACGTAGACCGCTGTGTATTGCTATTGTGTGGTCATCACTTCAGTTGGTATAACTAGAGAAGCAAGCAGTCAGCAACATTCATCTCTTGAGAGGATGTCTAACTCTGTGCAACAGTGTTTGAACTTAGACTGGGTGATTGGCAAAAAAAATATGATCACAATATATTTTGTCATATCTTCCGATCTTGGTTATTATCACATTTTTTTTTGTATTTTTTTAAGAACTAAAGACACTAGATATTAGTTAAACATTTTATTAACATAAAAAGTAAATAACAAAGCAAATTAAGTAAGATAAATTTAGAAAAATATAAAAGACATCTTGGGCTCTATTTTCATGCCTCGCTGGAGACGTGCCGCAGGCGTGGCGTAAGTCAGGTCCGCCGCGCTGACAAGGCGTTCCCAAGCCCAATTTGGTATTTTGGTGAGAGACGCAGCCCGGCATAAGTATCCCCCCTCCCTAACTCAGCTCCTCCCAGCGGCGTAAGTCGTAGTGAGGAGAGGGCGTGGAGTGGGTTTAAGACAGCCGAGACCTGTTTTCACCAATCACATAAGCTCCTCTCCTTGCCTTTAAATCCGCCATGTTTGATCAAGTTCATATGCTCACAGCTGATCACCATGATCGAACTGAAATTTATCACGATCATATAATCGCCCAGTCCTAGTTTGAACGTGACTTAAAATTTATGCCGGAATATCCCTTTAATGTTACATTAATATGGTAGAAATAAATTGATAGAAAACTTGTACGTTTTCTGTCAGAGGCTGCATTCAATTTGATTTTTTGTTTAAAAGAGGATAAGCTTAAATAGAAAGTGGTCATCAGGTGTTTGTTATAGTAATGATAGTAAGGCTGTAAACCTCAGAAGTGTAAGTCTCTCTGAACCTCTTTTCCCTCTCTGCTGTGGTTTTAATATTGACAGGAAGACTGAGACAGTATTTCTACAGTGATTTAAAGCCTAGTTAGACTTTCATCTCCGTGCTGTTCAGTATTAATAAGTCATTTGCTCTTGGCATCTTGAACTTGTGTGCGTTTCTCGGCACATGAATTCTGACTTGACTGACTCATCTGTGAACCCTCTGCCTCTTTAATCTGAATGTGTATGAGAACCAAGGCCACGCTACTCTACCATAGAAAATTAATGTTCGGTATTTCTTATAAATACAAGAGACCTTATTATTGACATACAGTAGCAGGAGTAGACTATATAAATTCAGCTTTGATTCACATGAACGCTGCAGTTCATTCTGCAGAAAAGACTGTCCATCTACATAAATCTGGCAGCTCAAAGGAGAGGAGTAGAGGTGGATGCTTCTCTTGTACTTTTAGAGAGACTTTGGCAGAGCTCACAGATGTGGACAGCAGTCAAAATTCAAATTCAACTTTATTTGTATGGCACTTTTCATACAAATAATTGTCTGTACTCTATTCATACAAGTTGTTGTAACCTTGGTCTTTCTGATGGGAGGATGTTTCCTCTGAAATCACGGACCAGGTAAAACCAGCAGGTACAATCCCGCTCTGTGTCACAGTCCTGCAGGTTTTACAGCTTTCTCTTTGCTGTCACCTTCACATGGTTTCTATTTTTCTGCTTGATTTCACTGTTTGATGGAACAGGTAGAGTCCTCCACTACAAGGCAAATGTCTCTGAAAACTCTGTCCTCTGATGAAAAACCTTTTATAAAATATACTGGTTTATTTTAATGCCATGATATTACTCTGTTATTTTGTGAATGAAGGTGAGGCTGTAAGAGATTCGATGCCCTACCTCTCATCTATCTTTATAAAATGTTCTTTTGATTTTGTACAGCTGGTTTTGAAATGATGAAAAGCTTCTCCAGAGATGAGACACTGTCTGTTATCATATGAGTTCAGCAGAAAAGATAAATTACTCAAAAAAAAAAAAAAAAAGCAACTCTGAAG